TTGTACTAAGTTGGTTTATTGTAGTCTGTTTTATAGTGTACTGATGCGATTTTCTTATATATATATATATATAACAGGTGTTTCCCGCAGATGGATATTTATCATGGCGGCGCCCACCGTTAAAATATCAGTTGTGTGCCACCTCATGGTAAACACAAATCGAAGCTTTCAAAATAAATTAGGTGTCTTTATAACTTGGAAACAAGCTTGGCTTTTACAAAAACTTGCAGTACAGGTCGTGTAAAGACCTTATTTCAGCTTCTCTTACTCATATTCTGAGTTCTAAATCAAAAAGAAAATCTAATCCTATTATCTTGTCGCATTGCGAAACGAAGTACTAACCGCTCCAACCTTAGCCGCTCGACTGACACTTTCTCTACCGCACCATTCTACAACTGTGTTACCGGAGCCAACCACCCCCACAAAACAAACGCCCACGTAACTGTGTAGACCATCCTCACGTGGAAGCGTAAGGTTTGTGACCCTGAGCTTTACAAACACTAACAGAAATGGAATTTAATTCAAAAGAACATTTCAAATTTCGACGCCTGCATAAATAATACAAAGGATAATGATTTGACCTTTCTAAACAACAAATTAATGTATATGTCGACTTCCGAAAACATCATAAATATATTAATATCACTCACCTGACCGTTTCCTTCTTAATTCAGATGTGGATTTGATCAGACATTGTTAGAGCATAGCGCTCCTATCGCAGATGTCAAATACAATTGGTTCGTGAGCTCGTTATGAAGTTTTACTGGTCCCTGTGCGTGATTCTAAACTGAACCTTCATCAGTTAACTGTTTAGAAACTTAGCGGCATCTGTTGGGCGTAAATGATAATACGAAAGTTTGGAATAACAGAAAGGTTTGATTAAGAAAAAAAAAATATTCTTTTTGAATTTATTATTAATCAATATTTTTGAACAGTTACAAATATTTAAAATCATATTTAATCTTATTGTTAATTTCTGGAACTCACAGTGAAATTCACCAAATATTTTTATTAATTTATAAACTTAATCGCTGGAAGAAGTAAGTATTTTCAGAGTGATATTTGTGGTGAAATGTGTGGAGATCGGCTAATTTATAAAGATTGACTATCTGCTTTATCTCGATATGTTTTCACAATTATATTTATTGCGCTGACGTTAATTCTGTTATAAAGGTTAGCTAATTTATAATTTATATATTTTTTAAATAAATCATTATTTATAGGTGGCCTTATTTTTTCCAACAATTTTTCTAGACAATAATATACAATGAGTACATAACACAACAGTCTGGATATTTTTGTTTTGCTGATAAACCGTAATAATATTTTCTTCTATAACAATAAGATTTAGTAGCACAGAACGGTGCCCTCCCAGTGGCACAGCGGTATGTATGCGGTCTTACAACGCTAGAAACCGGGTTTCGATACCCCTGGTGGTTAAAGCACAGATGGCCCATTGTGTAGCTTTGTGCTTAACTTCAAAAAGAAACAAACATTTCGGGCCCGGCATGGCCAGGTGAATAAGGCGCGCGACTCGTAATCTGAGGGTCGCGGGTTCGAATCCCCGTCCCACCAAACATGCTCGCCCTTTCAGCCGTGGGGGCGTTATAATGTGACGGTCAATCCTCCTAGTCGTTGGTAAAAGAGTAGCCCAAGAAGAGTTGGCGGTGGGTGGTGATGACTAGCTCGCTTCCTTCTAGTCTTACACTAGTCTTAGGAACGGCTAACGCAAACAACCCTCGTGTAGCTTTGCGCGAAATTCAAAACAAACAAACAATAAACTAATTTCTTCTAATTTTTGCCATAGTTTTTTATGGCCAATGTGTTATCTTTCTTTTTTTTAAATTCGTTTATGTTAATCTCAGTTTTAAATCATTTGTTTGGCGTAATATGACGTGTATTATTACCATATGTACTTTTTGGTGTAAATGTATTAAATTATACATCATTTAATATATGAAGGAATTGGAAAAATTAAAATAAAAACAACATGCCATCAATTCAAACCTTATTATCTTAATTAAAATAGTTTTAACTTTTTTCAAAGTTGTTTCCAAACAAATACGTTTGGATTTGTCTTATAGATTGACAATTAAGGAACACATATCATACACTTATGTCACCAATTATTGTTTGTTTGTAATTAAGCACAAAGCTACACAATGGACTATCTGTGCTCTGCCCACCACGGGTATCGAAACCCGGATTCTAGCGTTGTAAGTCCGCAGACATACCGCTGTGCCACTGGGGGGTCCCAATTATTGTTAGCGTATTTTCTACCCGGTGAAAATTTAAAACCTGTTCTTTAGATAAATAATTTGACGAATTGGTAGCTTATTAAAAATACTAACAAAGCGACAAATAAAAACATAATTTATGGTAGAGCTTAAACCTTCATATTTGGTCAAGAACTTAAACAAATATTTAAGTTTACGTCTGCTGTTCAATTTCTGTACTATTTTTACTTTTTGCCCAATGGATCTTTTTTTATACATAATTAAAATACGTCATGAATTATCAACGATAACTACTGACAATATTTCTAATTTTCCTTGGTTATTTTTTTAAATAGAATAACTAAGCACTTTTTGTTTTTGCCACAGGAATTTTGTTTGATGAATTCTCCTATTACCAAACTACCAATCAGATTTGTAAGACCAACGAGCTATATGTATACCTCTCTCGGTTGTTTTATGTAACATAATGTATGAAGATAAAATTAGTTTAATTATTACTTTTTAAATATTATTTGAAAACGATGAGCCAAAATTTAGCCATATTAGTAAAAAACGAAACCTAATACAAAAACCTCTACTACACCATACATCTGTGTTGATAACCAAAAAAGTTATATTTATGCTAGAAGTAAGAATTATATTTCACGAGTTTAGAATTATCCACATTCGTTGTTCTGGAACTTTACAAACCGTTCATATTGTAACGTGAGTCTACACACGTAATACTTTTCTTTTGAATATAGCAATGCACCTCGCAAAATATCTAAATAAAAAATAACACCAGTAGTAAACACATTTCAAAGAGTATAGTTGTTCTGACAACAACAAAAAAAATCGCCTCCAATGGCAAAGCGATATGTCTGCGGACTTACAAAGCTAAAAACTGGATTTCGATACCCGTGGTGAGCAGAGCACAGATAGCCCATTGTGTAGTTTTGTGCTTAACTTCAAACAAAACTGACCAAAATTACAAAAATAAGTAGTACGTGTGTGTGTTTTTTGTTTATTCACGATTTTTTTTTTGCAATCGCGGAACAGAGTGAAAATATATTTTACGCAAAACACTTTTCAAACCCTCTCTCTCTCTCGATTACAAGCAAACCTTTTCAGCTACTTCATCTTCATTAGCCTTGAAAAAACTCAACATTTTCATCAATTAGTTTATTTATTATACATGAAATTAGTATATTAAATAATATTTTCAGTGAACATTTACGAATACCTATGCTGGTTTAACTTTTAACTATTCCATCGGCGGGTCAGTGCTAAGTTTACAGAGTTACAACGATAATATCCGGGGTTCGATCCCTCTCGTTGCCAGAGCGTAGGTAGTCTTTCGTGTAGTTTCGCGCTAAAAGAAAACGAGCTTTTAAATATTAATGCCATATTATTTTAATTAATCAAACATTTTGCTTTTTTAGCTCTTTTCCTTTTTGTTATTAAAACAGAGTAATGCAGTATATTTTGTTTTGTGCTATATAATTGTTTGAATTTTTAGGCATGGTTACAACTGATAGTAAAGCATGAGCTACTGTAACTTTCTATCCAAGAAAATATACGCTATGTGTAAACAAAACGCACGTTTATCGTATAGCGTGGGCGATGCCTGCACAGAACAATCCCCATTGAATGACGTGGCTTCAAAGTCATTAACATTTCATTCACACTGTTATTTTGTTTCTTGTTAGATCGAAGTGTTGATTCAGAATATCTCAGGCTACACCCACCAACGAAATGTACAACATGTAAACTTTTCATACAAAGGATGTATTCTGTTTACAGCTGGTTTTGTTTTTAAAAAGAGTAGTAACGAGCTTCACACGGGTATAAAGTACACAGTCTAAACAACATATCCTGTTATAAGAAAAGGGAAAGAGAAAAGTTAAGGAGATTTATCTTCCTTTCAGTTTAGTTAGGGCAGAGTTCTCTTTCTTTTTACTTGCTATATTGTAAACATTTAAAAAACATTGTTACACCATTTCCTGTTTTGCCATTTTACTAAATAGTTACATACTTTGTTTAAAATATTATAAATAATTTTATATATTTATTTCAATTTTAGGTTTTTTTAACGAAATATTTGGTTGCTTTACATAACAGAAATACGATAACGAATGAAGTTACTCAATCACTCTTTCAAACTTATGTCAGTGTTTTAGATTTGACTTCGAGGCATTTTACAAAATCAAAACGAATTACGTGAAAGGAAAAACTATTCATTTTTTGATACGAAAAACATAATTATGAAATGTTCGGTTTAAATTACTTTTATTATTTTTAAGTCAAACTTTAGAGAGGGCGATGTAAGGGAAAATGGCGCGAATGTGAATATAGTGGGTTGTTATTTAACTAGTAAATGTAAAGACTATTTTAGGTAAAATATATGTATTCTAATTATAGTATTGATTTTACATATAGGAAACTGTATAATTTGTTTACATAAATAAGAAAAAAATGTTTAGGTGTATAGTTACTATTTCTGGCGAATGTTAACTTTTACGTCAGGTTTGATTTTGTTTGAAGCCATGATTTCATGTAAATCACGGCATAAGACTTTCTAGACCCATGTTAATTATTATGTCGAATTAATCAGTCAGTGGTTAATTTAAACTTAATATTTTATCACATCTTCTAGTTGTCGAACTCGTATAAGCTTAGTATTAATACTGGCTTTGGACTACTAGTACTAATAACACTTTTCCTCTGAGCTCTTTCCCTCAGATTAAATCTCCTTTTTTTAAGTTTAGGGTAATAAGCCCAAGGCTGAACACAATACACCAAATGTGGCTTAACCAATGACCTATAGTATGTACAATTATATTTATATAATGGAATTATTATCTCTTAGTCTTATGGACTAGTTGTAGTACAACCGAGTGCTAGTAGTACTAGGAATAGTAGGATGGTGCAAGGAATAAAAAGCTTGTCATATAAGGACAAATTAAAGTCTCTGGAATTAAAGACATATAAAGTTTGGAAACGGCTTGAATGCGTAATGAAACTGAAAGTAATTTCATTATGACTAACAAATGTACAATATTTTCACAATCTTTTGTTGTCATCATCTGAACTTGCTTTCTCTTGAAAAAAGAAGAGAGGGGGATCTGATTGAGGTGTTTAAGATTGTTAAGAAAATTGACAATGTTTATGCTTTTTTTTTCGGACTTAATAGTGAGAATTGTAGGACTAAGGGACACAAATAAAGTTTGACAGGATAGGAGTCATCTTCAAGTAAAACAGTTTTGTTTTATAAACATGGTGGTTAGCCTTTGGAAGGGGTTGCCTTCAGATATGGTAAATGCAGTAAATTTAAGGAAAGCCATGATAAGTATTTACTGGCTGCTGGTTTTGAGTTTGTTTTTTAAGTTTATTGGATAAAACAGTCTATATAAACCAATAGGCCCCTTGTCCTGAAATTTTGTTTTTTTCTATATAATACTAATAGTAATACAAATTACCAAAGTCTAATAATAATAGTTTTAAACTTTCAAGAAGTTTCGTGATCCATAGCAATGATCGGCATTAGCCGTGAAAGTAGAAACTGATACACTGACTGTGTATAAAATGGGTGTTTTTAACTTAATAATGTTATTAGACTTAGAAACATTATTTTAATTTTAAAGAATGAAAATATTGTACTGAGCGAATGAGGGTTATGACTTTACCAAATGTATAATTATTATTTTGGTAATTTACAGTAGCATTGAATACCATCTTTTATTTTTATGTTCAGTACTTGCTGGTAGTGGTGTCAGTAACTGTTTTGTGATACTAATAAAACTGATGGTATGGGTTGGTTTTTTTATACATGCTACTCTACAATTTTGTAAATGATAAAGTTATAGACTTCTCAACTTATAAATATTGGTAAAGAGGGTGAAAAAATGTATTAAAAGCACCCAGTGTGGATGTGATGGGAGTCGTAGTAGTGTGGTTTGAAGTTGAAAAGTATTTTAGAAAGTAGAGAGCTCTGGATGAACAGTGAGGTTGAAGTCCTGACCATTTCCATAACCTGTTGTTTTCTTAGATGCATCACGTATTCAAACCATATTTAAATCGATCAGATAAACTTACTTTCACTCAACATTAATATTGGTTGATTCATTACTTGAAAACATACAAACAGCATGATCTGTAAAGTAACACTGTATTATTTTGGATGACTCGCAGATTTAAGAAATTAGTATTGAAATTATTCTATTGAAGTGAACAGAGATACTTAACTGTAATCTATATCGCTTGTATGCTATTTGATTTACTAAGTCAAGTCTGTCATTTTCCAAATCTTTATATTTTTAGTTTGCTATTTATTGAGATTGCATCAGAACATATTTTTATTGTATTTCCACTGCTGGGCCAACAAATTTAACGTACCATAAACACTAGTCATCAAAATAAATTAATTTTTTTGGTCATTGGAAAACTTCGTGAAAGTCAGAAGTTAAAGATAAATGTCAAAAATTTTGAAAACTGTGAAATAAAGGACACAAGCTGTTGTTTTTGATACTAAGTAAATGGTTACTGTTATTGTTAACTTTTTCTTAAAGATTACAACCTCATTTGGAGTTTAGGAACGATTTTGATAGTGGGCCTTCATGGTGAAATAGCTTATGAATGCCATGTATGATGTTTTATATTTAATAATATCAGTTATCTAAAATAGATTCACATTTAAGCTTTTGTCATTTTATAGCAATGCCACTTCACATTCAGGACACTGATGATGATGATTCAAATTACATTCTGATTGCCAAAATTGACAATGTTAAAAATGTGTCACAGCTTCTAAAAGCAGTTCATTTCAAGGAGGTAAGACAGTTTAAATTTCAAAGTGTATGATCAACTCCAAGTAACAACAAAAAATGAGAAAAGTGTGAAATATTTATGAAAATTAAGAGTATATTTTTTATTATGGAAATGCAATCCATAAACTTTTAAACTGATTATATACTGATTTTTATTTAAAACAATTGTATAAGCTTTCATTTTCTATTCATCTCACTTGTGTTACTCCAGAGTGAGAATTTGGTTTTTATAAATGTTTGTCTTACAATTTATCATTAAAAGCTGTGGTGTAATATGGAAAGTATTTAAGGACAAAATTGGAAAATACTTGTTTAAATTGATACTTAGCATTTGAAAACTTTCTAATCATTCATACCTTTTAATTGAGGTTAATCACTCAGCTCTAACAACTGCAGCATTAACTTAAAGAATACACACACACACAAAATATGCTTAACAACATCTATTTTCACGCTTATCATCAGTTTTTCTTGAGTGGCTCTACCTATGAACAAGGGTGAAATTCTGCCAGTACTCAGTATCGGGACTTGTTTGACAATCCACATACAATCCACTTTTGTACAATCCATGTCTTCCTTCCATCGTACCATCAGAAATTAGACGTGTCACGATTCAGAGAATCTAAACAATAATTAAATATTCTGAAAATGAAGCACTAAATGATGTAACAACATTAGTTTTCATTGGCAATAAGACCATAAAAAGCTATTTAGCAGCTTTCAGATAGTCTCATCCCTGTGGGGTTTGTATGATTGGTCAATATAATGATAAATGTATCCAAATGATTGATTTTATTGGTTGATGCACTATGATATTAGTGTGTATAATGTCTTTTTATCATACAATGGAATGGTGAGCTTACAATTATGAAATTTTTGATTTGATTGCCTGTTTAATATATATGTTTCTAAAATCACCAAAACAATGAATATTATGGAAATACATTAAGCAGTTTTCTGTGGAATGTCAAATAAGACCTATAATTGTGTTCACTGTGAGTGTTATTGTAAAAAACAAGGTTGTTTTTGTTTTTTTCTTCAGTAAACTATATTTTAAATTCCATGTTAGCAAAATCCTTTGTTGTATGGACATGTTAGTACTGGCAATTTGTTGTAGAAAAATTTACCTCTTCCAATAAACATTGATTACATCAACTAGTGTCATGTAAAATAATCAATTAATTAAAATTGATTACATTAATTACTGCCATGAAAATACATACATACAATTTAAGGAAAGCAAAGCAGCTGTTGGTCCTCATAAGTTTTTTCATTTACTATATTAAACTCTGAAGTAAAAGTAAATACTCAATCAGCTCTTATCATTCAAATATTTATCTCACCTACCCCTATATTATCTGCCTACACAACATCCAAAGACAACCAATTCTAGAGGCCAACCACCTGGTTAAACAAATAAAAGTATCTTAGCTAGAAATGGCTCCAACCTTCCCAAAATTTATGCAAGTATCCTCTAGTCTTACCATTCTCGTTATTAATAATAAAAAAGAAAAAAGATGAAGCATCAGCACTACGAATTCTGTTTATAATTTTAAACGCCTTGCTCAGATCCTCTTTAATTCTTTCCTTTTTCACGAGTAATTGAGATTAACGTTTCTAACTATCTAATTTATGACATTATGATTTCTCATTATTATTGATGATTAACTCAAGGTTGTTCAGCTTAATTGATTGTCTACTACTGTTAACATCTTGTATGGTGTCAGTTTCTACTACTGTTAGCACAATTTGATGATTAAAAATACATTGTAAGTTAATAAAAACCATTACAAATAAAATTAAAACTGTTATTATTAATTCATTATTGTGAGAAATACTACCATTTTATATACAATAAAGGACACTGTATTGTGTACTGTACTTCACAAGTTCTGGAGGTGATGAAGCTATGAATGGAAAGACCACGTTACACTTTTCTATCTGGCAAAAGAACGTAATCACTAGTAGAATTTGATAACCAATGGGCACATTAATTGATTACATTTAATTAATAGATTATTGTCTACGAGACTTGGATAGTTGGAATAATCAGAAATACAAATTTTCATCAGTTACTGACACCATACAAGATGTTAACAGTAGTATAGACTGACACCATACAAGATGTTAACAGTAGTATAGACTGACACCATACAAGATGTTAACAGTAGTA